GTTTAAACCTTTTACTACTTTATTCATCGACTTTCCTCAAGTTCATATCCCAAGTTGAATTTCGCTTGGCTTTTTCACATGTGGTCGGTCTCACAAAAATGTCTTCTGTACCAGATGAGAATCACCTCCACAATAGGGGGATTTATGTGTTACTTTTTAGGTGATGGCTGTACATATTCCGCTGGAATACTCTACACCGCATTCCTTTCTGCTTTTTCAGCCAATAGCGTTTCAACTTCATTACTTCCTGGATTAATATACGCACTTCCCCAAATTATAGCACTTGTTGTGTGCCCATTCATTAAAGTCGTTGGATATTCTGCCTCGGCAGCTTATGGAGCAGCATTATTGGGCCTTAGTTTTGTTGGTATGATCATATTTTTGTTTTACATCTAGCTTCCTCATTTGTTTCCGAAATCAATGTAATGTATTTTACACTCGGGGTTTTGGCAAGCATTGGTCTCCAACTCAGTTTTTCTTCTGGAATTATGGCTGTAACTGAAGCTTTTGCAGGCAGTCGTTTGTAAATATATATTTTATGTTACCTTAAACCTTGACTATATTTGAACTATTTGCTTTTTTGTATTTTGCGTAAAAATAGTCTTAATTTTATAAAGATAATTTATTTCAACAGGTTTCCGTTAGCTTCGACCTGCACAATGCTAGGTTCAGGAATCGGTATTTTTGTTGCAAATCCACTCCTAGCTTGGGCTCTGTCCCTTTGGACCTGGAGTGAAATATTTTTCATAGTAGCTGCAGTATTCCTGAATGTACTTATTTCTGCAACGTTTTTTTATTGGCTTGATGAAAACAAACGATTAATGTCAATTAGTTCGGAAAATTCAGACTATAATGAATCTCAACTGGAAACTATAGAACACCTCAAGAGTAAGATGTTTTCTATATCAGATAGTAATCCTTTTGGTTTCATCTATGTATGAGTTCATTTTATTTTATGTTTATTACTTACCATTATAATATTTTTGCTTTAGTGTATAATATTCTTGAATTCTTGTTACTATTTATCCTTTACATCTAGTTTTCATATAATCGACCCCTGATTTTATCCCTTCGATTTTAATCGTATTTCCTTCACTAATCAGCGGAGACGTCTACAAAAGCTATTTCGAAAGATTGCTTTAAGGCTTCCTTATTTAAGGTAGCCAAATTCATATTTTACCCATTGATGATATTCGTGCCGGTTGGAAGTCGAGATTGCTTTTCAACTAGCAAAAAATTATCCCACTCGATTCGCTCCCGTGAAAATGAATGTGAGTCCCCACATTTCTCAAGCACAATTTATTTACTAAAATCTAACCATATGACTCTTGTTATTACATTGTTCGGATCCCTTTATTTCGTATAAAATTACTTGAAGAGACTCGTTGGTTGATCTCACAAGAAGACGACAGTTGAATCCCGTTTAGCTTTAAGATGATGATTGGGTTGATGCAGTCCAAGAGACATCTTTCCTCGCTTCGGGTGACACCAAGCTGATCTTTCGCCCAACATATTATGGACATCATAAGAACTGGAACCCATTTTTGTAAAAGTCTCATGTTAACATTAGGTCATGAAGACTATCCGGCTCTATCTTACCTCTCATATAGACTCAATTAAGCAAAATAAAATTGAAAGGCATAGATAGCTATAGAATGGCTTGGCTAATTATCTTTCGTATTTATCCTGCTACTTTTCCTCGAATATATGTGTACATGTGTTAACGTCCACACAATACATGTCCTAAATCAGTGATCAAAAAGCCTAATTTCATGCTCTGGTCACCAAGGCTTAGTGAACCCGAGCTCTTCCCGATTATCACCCGAGACGAAAGAGGAGCTTTAGTGGACTGCGTTAATCTGAGCGTCGTATTGAGGCCAAACGCCGGCAGTACAACATGATTCTGCCGTCGTCTTCTGATAAGTTTAGCCTCCGAATCTCTTCTTCCACTTTCATACGAAATGAAGGCCTCTTCCATAATGTTATCTCAAGAGATTCATTGAAACCTAGTTACTCTTCGTATCTCTTTCTTACGTTTTACTAGAGCTACATACTTTTCATTTTATCAAATATCATCGATCATTAAACCTATTTATTTCCACTTTTTTGCTTAGTTTTCTTTAAATATTTTAACTGATTTCCTATATTGTTTTATATAAAGCTTGAATTTATTGATCTTGGATTCGCATTCTCATCTAATGCCCATTGTAGTGTTAAATTTTTATGTATATATTTATATATCTTCTTAAGTAATTTAATCAAATATATTTCCACAACTTGCTAAACACTGGTTAACTAAGAAAATAATTTTACTCGAGTAAACTTGTATGAGTATTGAAACTTAGTGCAAGGTCCATTAAACATTTGTATTCACATATTTGTGTACATAGATTGCACATCATAACTTACCAATAGTTATGTA